AAAAAAAAAAAAAAAAAACCAAAACGATAAAAGCTCCATGCAGGCACGTGGGTCAGAAGACTGGAAAGGCCAATCCAATGACTCCAGCCATCTGAATCGAGATAGGCTCCTCTAGGAGTGGCTGGTACTGTTTCTGGAATTTGAGTGTTTTTCCTATATGTACAGGCTAAACTACCTTTCCAGTTTGTTTACACCCACCCATATATTCTCCTGCCTAGGACACCCTTTCCTCCACCTAACTCCTATCCATAATTCAAGGCTCTCCTGAATCGAATGCCCACCCAACAAGCCCCTTAGAGTCTAACCCCCTCCTCTGGTAGCACGATACAATAATCAATAGCACAAGCTCTGAGTCAGTCCACCTAGGCTCAAATCCGAGCTGTCTTGTGTGAGCTGTGTGACCTTGGGCTGGTCACTTAACCTCTCTGGATCTCAACCTTCCATCAGTAGAATCATACCAATCTCCTGTGACTATCAGAATGTGTTAAAAAGAGCTTAATTAATGCAGTGATTTACATTCTAGACACAGACATATAGAGAAAGTAAAAAGAGGGAGAAAGAGAGTACAAATCAGAGAAGCACAGGGCAAAACTATTTTGGATACTTTCAAGGTGGATTTAAGACATGTATTTGTCAAAACTAACAGCATGTACAACACAAAGAATGAATCCTAAACTGTGGGCTTTAGTTAATATAGATACTGGTTATAACAAACGTACCACACTGATGCACAATGCTAATAAAGAGAAAGGCTGGCGTGTACCTCGGGGTAGACCCTCCTCTGTGTGGCCCCAGTCCCTGACATGGACATGTGACACATGACACATGGTTTGGTTGCTCAAAACTAAAATGATGATGATGATGACGATGGTGATGGAAACTGAGCTGAGTGCGGTGGTGCACACCTGTAATTCCAGCACTTGGGACGCTGAGGAGTTCGAAGCCAGCATGTGCTACATAGTGAGTTCAAGGCCAGACTCGACTATATAGTGAGACCCTATCTTTTTTTTTTTTTTTGGTACTGGGGATCGAACTCAGGAACTTGCACTTGTGTGGCAGGCGCCGGAACCACTGAGCTAAATCCCCAGCCCCGACCCTATCTTAAAAAAAAAAGAGGAGCAATTGTGTGTGAGGGTGCAGGGTTTATATGTTCAATAAAATCTAAAAATTATATAATTTTAAAATAATGTACTGGGCATGGTGTAGAATAACTAATCCCAGCTACTTAGGTGAGAGGCAAGAGGATCCCAAATTTGAGGCCAGCCTGGGCAACTCTGGGAGCCCCTGTCTCAAAATAAAAATATAAAAAGGGCTTGGGATGTAGTTCAGCATTCTCCGGGTTCAATCCCCAGTACTGAAATCAAGAAAGAGACAGAGACAAAGAGAGAAAGAAGGCGGAGAAGGGAGGGGAGAAAAGAAAAGAAGAGAAGAAAGAAACAAAAAAGAAGCAAAGCTCTTAGGACTGGCTCTGGGAGCAGATTGCTCCTCCGACTTGGCCACTGCTACCTGGCTCTGTCCAACTGGGTCACACCAGCCCCATACATCTGTCTGACTCTGCCTTGGGAGCAACCTGCTTCCCTAACATATGCCTGGGCCTCTGGAGTTTGTGACTGCTTTCCTGTAGTAGATGACGTGTAGAATGGCAGATGGAATATTCTTTCAAGTGTCTACTGCTAAGTAAACTTAAAAGTTGTTTCTCTGCCTCCTTCTCAGGTACTGATCATAGCATTCCCTGGATTTATACCATTCGATTATGGGGAAAATGACACTGGGAGAGAATTACAGGTTTCAGAGTAGGAACACTAGGCATTTTCTTTTTTGAAATGAAAGCCTCTGATCAAGTCCCCCAAGTTAAGCACACTTCACCCCAGTGGGTAAGTTTGTATGTAATACTTACAGTTTGTTCTTGGTTTTGTGGTGAACTGGTGGCACCATTTAATATCCATTGTAAGTTCTGTTCTCCCATGACTAGGCCGGACCCCAGGATAGCCGTGTTGGGAGTCGGGGTGATGGTTATAGTGGGATTGTTAGTTAGGACAGAGTTGGCACCCAGCGGCAGAGTCTGGACCATGGCTGGCAGGGGCTCAGTAGTCCTTTGTGGTGGGGCTGGTGCTGCCATGGCCGATGCCACTGCTGCTGCTGATGCAGAAGCCCCAGAAACAACAGAAAGTCCTGGTACAATGGGCTGCGGTGCCTGGGGGTGCGGAAGAAACTCTTGATGATTAGCAGCAAACTGCGTGCTGTGGAGAACAGGCACTTCCGGAGGTTGTAAGAGAGCAGGGGGGTTGCCAAATGCAGCTTGCTGGGAACCAGGTCCTAGGGAGGGAGCAGGCGGAGGAGCAGACGGAGCTGAGGCTGGTAGCAGAGGCTGGGGTGGCTCGGAGATGCCAGGCTGCAGTACAAGCGGGAGAGATAAAGATGCTGAATTTCCTGTGGGTGGCGGGACATCACTGACTGACTCTGCATCACCATTAAAACTTTCAATCAAGGCAGCTGGTAAGAAAAAGAAATAGAAACATATATACATATCCCAAGCCTCGTATATGCCACAACACAGTCATTACGGGCTGAACAAGACAATGAAGTGCATCGGAGTTGACTCCTTCTCTGCTAGCAGGGAGGTTTGTGCTCGCTTCAGTAGCACCACTGCTCACAGTGCCACATCTGCTGGTCAACTGCACTTCCTAGGTCCAATGACCCAGAAAAGGTCTAAACATGAAATAATGTGTCCTCAGGCGCTTCTAGAACCTTCCTTTTTTCTTTTTTATATGACTGGTGAATACAGACAGATTTCCATTCAAACACAGTCTGATCTTTACATCTGAAGCTTGTGTGGGGGTCCTATCCACTCATGAAAACGGTATCACAGCAGAAGGAAAAGCTTACAGCTCCTCCTATCTTTTAAAGCCACAAAGAGGTTCTGAGGAAGGAGACCTTCTTGTTCGGGAGCTGAGAGAAATTGGGGAAAAGATGGAATTGGACTGAAAAGCTCATTTTTCAGAGCGTTCACAGAAGGCCTGGTTCATTTAAGCTAATTGAAATATTTCTCTTTGCCTGTCACTGAGCATGTCAACAAGTGTGAATTCCCTTTCCCAGCTGCGACATGAACAAGAAGAGTGCAACAAACCTGTCTGCTGAGGATCTTCCTGAATTGCTGTATCATCTGAATCCTGGAACATTGATTCAAAGATGATTGCTGGTGAAATTGTGCTGAGGTCCTGGCCCTGTGTCTGATGAAGAGAGAGAGATGTGAGACCTGCCATTCTGAGACAATTCTTCTCCATTACAGAACATATTTAGTGCAGCGGAACTAGAATGATCTTTTGATATGCTTCCTGTTTCTACCTTCTCCTGTTTCAAAGCAAACTGAGATATTGAAGATCTGGGTCCTCAAGAGTTGATAAACTGACGTGCAGGTTGGCAGCCTCTTTTATAAATAACGTTTTATTGGAACACAGGCACAGGCACTCATTTACATATTATTTATGCCACTCTCATAATACATGAGCAGAGTTGAGAAGCTGTGTCCACTAAGCCTAAAATATTTAGTATCTGGAGAAAAGAAAAAAATGGAAACAAAGTCTTTGTAAGTAGGGACGGGTGGAGCGGGTGAAGGGAGGGGAGGGGATTGGGCTAAAAATAAGAACCAAAATACATCATGTAAAGGTACAAGATCCCAACGATGAATATAACTGTATTGTATACCTAAAATGTACCAATAAACTTAATGAAAAAAAAATTTAGTATCTGGTGTTTTACCAAAAAAGCTTGCCAACCCCTGTTCTAAAAGACCAAATCCTACATAAATGTAGGATTGTATAATATTCATTACTGGTACAGTTAGTCCCTTTTGAAACTCATGTTGGAATTTAATCCCCACTGTGAAGTGTTAAAGGGCAGAAACTTAACCTGACTATTGTGTTTAGAAGCAAGGCCTTCAGGAGGTGATTATAATTAGACAAGGTCATCAGAGTGCCCCCACTCCACTGAACACTACTATCTTTGTAACAAGAGGGAAAGAAGTCCGGTGTGGTAGCATAACACTTGCGATCTCAGGATCTCAGCTACTCAGCGGACTGAGGCAGAAGGATTAAAAATTCCAGGCTGGCCTCGGTAATTTAGCAAGATCTTACCGCAAAATTAAAAAAACTAAAAGGAAGGGTGGAGTCCGGGAACGCAGTTAAGTGGTAGAGGGCCCCTGGGGTCAATCCCCAGGACCACACAACACTCCCCCGCCACATACACACAGAGGAAACGAGACCAGAATATACAGGCTCACACTTCCTGTCTTTTGCCACATGATGCCTGCACTACCTCTGAACTCTGCCAGCGAGAGGGCATCAACACAAGTAGCCCCTTGACCTTGAACCCACAGAATTAATGAGTCAAATCTTAGTCTGAGGTATTATGTTATTAGCAACAAAAAGTGGACCAAGATAACTGACCTGCAACTTGGTTTTCTCCTGTAATAAGGACAGATTGTGAATGTTTTTTCACGGTAATTATATACTACCTACGATTTTTTTTTCCTTCAGGGATTGAACTGGGGATGGACTCTAAGGTACACCAAACTATATCCCCACCCCTTTTTATACTTTTATTTTAAGACAGGGCCTGGTCTGCGATATTCTAATACATACACAAGGTAAGAAATCAAACAAATCAAAGAAACAATGACAAGGAATAGATAGCCTTGTACTTAATAAAAAGTCAGAGGCATTTCAAAAAAGATAAAATGGTTGGGGACGGGGACCCCACATAATGCCTGAGGCCCTAACTACTGATAGGCACTAAATAAAATACTCTTTATTTTAGTTAAGGAAAGGGAAAACTGCAATCCCTTTATCCATAGTCCACCTCCACCCTAGCACCCTACAGGGCAACAGTGACAAAGGCACCAACCCCAGAGGTGCAGGCAAGCAATAGCATTGGAAAGCGGGGGCAGGGTACGGTAGGCTATGGCTTGCTGGAGCAGAAGGTGCCAGGCATTTCCATACCTTTGGCTGAAGGCTGCCTGGGACCATGCAAGCCACAAATCACCAGAACTCAGGAATGGGCTGAGATCTGGATTTTTATGTGAAATCTACTGATTTGTAAATAAAAACAAGTCAGGGGGCAGGGATGTAGCTCAGTGTCACCGTGACTGTCTTGCAAGTGCAAGGTCCTGAGTTCAATCCCTGGTACAAAAAAACAAAACAAAAAAAAAGCCAAGTCAATGAAAATAATCTAAGAGCAGAGTATAGACCAAATAAAAACCTGTCTTCAGTCCAGACAATGCCTCAATGCCAATTTGTGTTTTTGGGTCACTCTGCAACAACCAGAATGAATGACTATAACTGTATGTGACACTATGGACTGATTTCTTAAACATTATGTTGCAAGAAAAAAAATACAGATGAAATAGTATATGACTGCAATTATAAAAGCACAAAAACAGAAAACATAAATTTAGTTGTTACAAGTAAGAACAGTGCTTATCCTTAGGGAGAGATAAAGGGGGCCACAAGGTTGCTAGGAACATTCTTGATGATCTGGACACTGGTTACATGGTTGTGATGAACTGTGATGATTCATCAAGTTGCACATTTACACTGCCCTTTTCTGTTTTCATATCTCACTTCAATAAAAAGTTTTTTGTTTGTTTTGTTTCCAGTACAGGGGACTGAACCCAGAGCCATCCCACTGAGCTACATCCCCAGTTATCCCCAGTCCTTTTTATTTTGAGACAGGGTTTCATTAAGTTGCTCAGGATGGGCTTGAATTTTTGATCCTTCTACTTCAGCCTCCTGAGTAGCTGGGTGATAGGTGTGTGTCATCAGGCCCGGCCAAAAAAATTAAAAAGGAAAGTGCAGAAGCCACCTCCAGGCTTCAGAGGAAAAACCCTGGGGTAGAGTGAGTGGGAACTGTTCTCCAAAGGAGACCAGACAGAACAGGCTGTGCCTCTGGGGCCTGGAGCAAAGAGCAAAGAGCAGGAAGAACACGGCAAGCTGTCAGCCCAGGATGGATCCTGGTGCTCAGCAACCAAAAGACCCAGGGGGTCAGTCCCTAGCTGCAGCCATCCCCTTTAACAAAAGGTCTGAGCAAACCAAAGTTCATTTCCAGGACATGCAGACACACGTGTCAGTTCAGAAACCCAGAGAGTGATTATCTCACACAAATTTATCATTTGGTTCCCCCTCCCTGACCTGGTACCGGCAGTCGAACTCAGGACCTTGTACTTGCCAGGCAGGCATGGTGCCACTGAACTACACCTCCAGCCCTATCACCTGGTTTTAACAAGTCTCAATTTTTAAAAAACAAAGGAAAAGGATAGGGCTATTCTCTCTCAATGATGTAAACTGTAGTAAAAAAGCCTCCCTTTCTTACATGTTCTTTTTGGGATTTTTTGTTTTGTTTGAGACAGTATCTTGCTAAGTAGTTCAGGCTGGCCTCAAATGCACAATGATCCTCCTGCCTCAGCCTCCTCAGTGCTGGGATTACAGGGTGTACCAACAAGCCCAGATTCTTACATGTGACCTCATCTCCCAAGGCTACCTCTGCTTGCTGCTGGCTCCTCACTGGTGCCTTCACATAGTTCTTTCTTATATTCTGTGTAGTGTTTGAAGCTGTTTTCTATGGGAGAGTTGGTCTTACAAGAGCAACTCTGCCATTGGGTACTAATATAAAAATGTAGCTTCAGATGCTACTCCCAGAATAACACTTTTATTTGATTTTAAAGTTTTAAATTGTTTTGAGATGGCGCCTCATTGTGTTGTTGAGGCTGGCCTCAAACTTCTGGGCTCCACTGCCCCTCCCATCTCAGCCTCCTGAGTAGCTGGGACCACAGGCAAAAAAGGTCACTGCATCCAGCTGAGATCTTTTGTTCACTCTGTTGGTCTTCTCTTCTCCTCTTCTCTTCTCTTTTGTTTTTGGTTTACTTTTTTTTTTGGTACCAGGGATCAAACTCAGGACCTTGAGCTTTCGAGGCAGGCACTGGAACCACTGAGCTAAATCCCTGGCCCCTCTCTTTTCTTTTTGGTACTGCAGATTGAACCCAAGGCCTCTGCACTGAGCTACAATCCCAGCTGTCTCATAATTTTTAAAAATTTGAGATAGAGCTTTGCTACGTTGATAAGTTGCCCAGGCCTTTTTTAGAAGTGTTACAATTGACTCCAATAACCCAACTTTAAGAGCAGTCATTTCACGGCATACCTAAATCATTCAGTCTCTGTTCAAATACTTTCCATCACATTTATGCATTATGCATACAGTGATGGAAAAATCCAGCTATATTTACTTACCAGCAAAAATCGAACTCAAAATTAGTGTTAACAACATAGAAAAACACTAAGATTGTATGAGAGAAGCGTACATAAGTGCAGACTCAATGCAGTGGTCTTTACCATCATGGAGACATGGGAATGGATAGAAAACTTATCAGTGAGAATCAAAGCAATGAGGTCGAGATAAAGTGGGCTTGTCTTTCAGTAGAGGGATGTATAAATTCTCTTCAAAAACCCAATAAAGTGCGTTTAAAGGAGGAAGACTGAGCCAGGTCAGAGAAGCAGGGTTAGAGGTCCCAAAACTGGAATTCTGGCTACATCTCATAATGCTAGACTTGAGGTTCCAAAAGGAAACCCGTACCTTCTTTGTTACCACTGTTAGCACAGCACTGGCACAAGGCCTGAAGTAGTGCTCAATAAATATTTGTTAGTGAATAGAAAAAGAAACTTTCTGGGGCCAAGAGGCTATCAAGTGAGTGACCTGGGTCAAAATGTATTATGCAAAAGATAGAACAATCTCTCCTAATAGTATTCTTATCAAGAGAAGGGGGGAAAATCCTAAATGGTCAGCAATTAAACACAATTAAATCTAGAAGACTTCACACTGGCCTTCCTCAAGTTTACCACCAAAAGAAGTGCTCAATCCTTGGATCTATTTTTTTTTTAGCACCTACATCCCATGTACACTTACTGTATTAGAATTTTCTCCCAATTCCGAATCTGTGGACAGAAGGTGCAAGTCACTTAGATAAAGTGAGTGATTTGTATCCTGTGAAAGAGAAAAAATTAGAATTGAGTATCAAAAATCAGGATCCATGGTAGCATATTATGTAACACCATACTTGACTGCAGCATCTTTAAGGTTCCAAAAGTTTGCATGTGTTCCGTGGAGCGACATGACTCATCCAAAGCAAGGGCTAAGCACATTGTTTCACTTTTAAAATTCTATATTCCTAGAACCTCTTATATTCTGAAAGATAGTTTAATAGTTTCTAAATTATTGCATGACCTGGGTTCCACAGTAACAAATGCTATGATAATATGAAAGTAATATTTGTGTAATTGGTTCCATCTTTTATAAAGTGATTTCACATGACTCATCTGTTCTTCATATAAACCTTGGGAGCATCACTCTATGCTCCATTTAAAATATGAGAAAATCAGTGCTATGACAGTGGGAGTGATGTGTCCCCAAACACGTAGCTAATTAGCAGAAGACTAATCTAGTGCTTCTGATCGATAAGTCAATGTTCTTTCCGTTGAGGACCACTGTGTTCTCAATATGGACACCTCAGGGTTCCTGACTCGGAGTGGTACTGAGGATTACTATTCAAATTCCGGCTAATGCTGAGCTCTGGACTCCTAGAATGTCAGTCACAATTCACACACTCTGAGTGGTAACCTTGCCTCCCTCCCACTACTGCATGCGTTCAACAAATACAACAGCCTCCCCGCATCCACAGTGCTGCTTTTCACAGTTTCAATGATTCAGGGGAAAGTGTGGTCTGGAAATATTAAATTCCAGAAGGAAATAATTCCTAAGTTTTAAACTGCACATGGATCTGACAGGTGTGATGCAATCGTGCACCACACCCCCACCTTGCTGGGCAGGCTGCGCACTCTACCTACCCATTAGTCACTCAATAGCCACCTGGGTCATCAGGGCCATCAGACCAACTGCTAAAGCTTGCGTTCAAGCAATGTTTATCTTACTCAATGATGGCCCCAAAGCACAAGGTACCAGTAATTTTATTATTTTATATTGTCATCAGTCTCTTACTGAGCCTAATTTAAAAGTTAAACTTTAACATAAGTATGTAAGTATAGGAAAAAACATGGCAGCACAGGGCTGGATAATACCCGCAGCTTTAGGCATAAACGGGAGAGCTTAGAACATGTCCTGCAGATAAGGGAGAGTCACTGTTTTCACTGAGCGTCTACTATGTATCACGAACTGTTCTGGATCCAGGGATATAATATAAACACAACAGGCTCCCTGCCCCTGTAGAGCTTCTATACTAGTGAAGATAAAACAGGTAGATAGTGAGCAAAATGATGCTAAATGTTATGAAGAGTAAAAGGAATAGGGAATGTTGGGATAGTTTTTGTGTTTTGTTTTGTGGAACTGGGGATTGAACCCAAGGCCTTCACAATGAGTTACAACTCAAGTGCTTTCTTATTTTCATTTTTTAAGTTTTTGCTAACTTTCCCAGGCTGGGCTCAAACTTGCAATGCTCCCACCTCAGCCTCCCTGAGTGCTAGGAATACAACACACACACACACACACACACACCCCACACACACACACTCCGCTAGAGACTGTTCTTTCATTAGATAGTTAGGGAAAGCCTCAAAGGTAAAGGGCATCTGAGGAGAAATTGGAGAAAAGAGGGCAAGGGCTATGCATGCACATAGAAAGTGTTGCAAGCAGAGGGTACAGCATGAACAAAGGCCTGGAGGTAGGAGCACGCTTTCCTTGGTTCAAGGCCCACTATGGATAAAGTGAGGAAGAGAAGTAAGTGGAAATGTGGCCAGGTCAGAGAGCATAGGACCTTACGGACCATGGGAAAGATTTTGACTTTTACTCTAAATGATTCAAGAAGCTCCAGAGGGTTATGAGCAGACAAGGCAACTGATCATGGTTTAGAAAGACCACCCTGGGTGATGTATGTAGAACAGTCTGTGGCAGACTGGGGTGTTAAGGGAGCAGAGAAGGGAAAGGGTGCGAAGAAGTATGTGTAGCAGGTTCCTGCAGTAATTCAGACGGGAAGTAGAATGAGTGAAGTAAACAGAGGAGTGACGGGATTCTAGATGTACTCTTAAGGTAAGAGCTGGCAGACTTTGCTGGTGCATGTGAGATATAAGGGGGAAAGGGTTAGATATAAGATTTTTGGCTCTGCCACTACAAAAACCTCACTGCCATTTACTGAGCTGAGAAGCCTGCAGGAGGAACAGGTCTGGACACGTGCAGTCTGAGAAGAGGAGATACTATCTGGGTGGGGACGCTGAGGAGGAGGTTGACTATGCAAGTCTAGAGCTCTAGAGAAGACCGAGCCTGGGGACTGGAAGGCAATGTGGATGCCCTGTAAGCCTGAGACTAGAACCATCTCCCTGTCGGAGGGCGCAAGAGAAGGGGAGTCTGCAGACTGAGCACTGGTGCCAATGCACTCCATGCACTCCAGTGCTCAGAGGCTGTCAGTAAGCAAATTACTCATCTACTCTTACAAAAAGGAGAAAACTGATTATGCAACTTGAAAATTGATTATGAGACTCAGGTTTTTTTGGGGGGGGGGGAGCTGAGACAGAGTCTCGCTATTAGTTCAGGCAATCCTCCTGCCTCAGCCTCCTAAGTGCTGGGATTACAGGCCTGCACCACCATACCTGGCTAGACTCACAAATTTTAAAGTTTACCTGTTTTCTTTTTCCTTTTTCTGTTTTTGTTTTTATGAGACAGGTCTCGCTATGTAGTTCAGGGTGGCCTTGAACTATGTAGTTCAGGCCGGCCTCAAACTCATGGTGATTTTCCTGCCTCAGCCTTCCAAGTGCTGGGATTGCAGGCGCGCACTACCACATTTGGCTCCTGGTCTTTACAGATGAAGAAACTGACCAAAAGGAACTCATCTGCCTAAGGTCATGTGATTAGTAATAAATTCTGGCTTTGAATTCAGGCAGCTGAGCTTTGACTTTTTCACAACAAATATGATTCTGTCCCTTAAGACACAAATGTTAGAACTGTGTTACGACACAGGTAGAATCACACTGCCTACCTCAATTAGACTAACTACAAGCTCTGGACACTTAGGCAAGTTATTTAATTTTTCCTTGCCTTATGTTTCTTAATTAAATAATAATAGTACTCACCTATTATTGCTAATAAAACTCAGGGGTCAGGGGAGTCCTTCTAGAGAGCTCTTTTATTGTTTAAAATTGGTCACTACAGAAAGAGTATGTTGCCATTCCCAAAATCAAAATCATGCTACAGTAAGAACTTCAAGTTGGGTGTGGTGTTATATACCTATAATTCTAGCAGTTGGGAGGCTAAGGCAGGAAGATCACCACGAGCTCAAGGCCAGCCTGAACTACATAGCAAGACCCTATCTCAAAAAAACCAAAATAAAAGAAAAGAATTTCAGTACTCCAAAGGGGATCAGTGAATATGCAAGTCTAGCATTCTAGGGCAGATCCAGGCTACAGATATCACTGTGGACTCAAAGGCAACACCAATGGTATGTGAGGCCTGAGCCTAGAGGAGGTTCTCCCTATAGGAGAGTGAACAGGGATCCAGCGATGACCAGGAGCAAAGCTGGGGGAGAATGGATGGAGGAGGGAAGTGCTGAGAAGCTCACTTGGCCGGCTATGGTAATAAACCAAGCAAGGGCCGGGGATTTATCTCAGTGGTTCCGCCACCTGCCTCGCAAGTGCAAGGACCCGAGTTCAATCCCTGGTACCAAAAAAACAAAAACAAAAACAAAAAAATAATCCAAGCAAAAAGATGGCAGTGGATTGAACTCAGTGCTCAGAAGTAGTGATCAGATTCTAGATATATTCTGAAGGCGTAGCTGACACACTTTGCCGTATCAGTTTCACCTTCTTTATCCATAAAACTGTAAAATAATAATACAGTCATTCTCACTTTCCAGGGCTCAGTACCGCATTAGAAGTAACAATTGTAAATTGATCCCAAGATCTCTCTGGAATGGAGCCACAGGGGATCAGGATACATAGAGGGGGTTGGGAAAGAACAAAACTGCCTGGAGCTCCAAAGGCTTGTTCTGTGGCTCAGTGTCTTTAGCCACTGGCTCTCAAACCTGGTTTATAGACAATTCAAAAGGGCAAGGACCAACACAGGCATTGTGGCACATACCTGTAATCCCAGCACTCTGGGAGTCTGAGGCAGGAGAAAAGTTTGAGACTAGCCTGGTTAACTTAGTGAGTTAGCAAGACTCTCAGAGAGAGGGAGAGAGAGGGAGAGAAAAAAAGAGAGAGGGAGAGAGAGGGAGAGAGAGAAAAGGCTCCCTAGCTCAGTGTGAAAACCCTGGGTTCAATCCCCAGTGCTGCCAAAAAGAAAAGAAAAGAAAAAGCCAAGGACCCTCCAGACTTTGCTTGCCTCTCCAATGACAGGTTAATGGGTTTGTGAAGCAACATTAATTTATGTCCCAAACTCAAGTACAGATTTGTCACTTTATAGGCACAACTGGGGTAAACGACACTGACATTCTCTTAAGAGTATCTAGCTGATCCTTTGAAAGCCTTTTTTTTTGAGACATGGTCTTGCTATAGAATTCAGGCTGGCTTTGACCTCACTATGAAGCCTGGGCTGGCCTCAAAGTTGCTGCAATCCTCCTGCCTCAGCCTGCTAAGTGCTGGGATTACAGGTTGTGCCACCATGCCCAGCCCCTGAAAGCCATTTCTGAGAGCCCTGGATTCTAGAGCACCTTTTTCTGTCATACCTGATGGAAATGAGCCACGGCTAAAGTAGAGGCTTTATAGCACAGGGAGTCTAGTGAAATTTCCGGCTTCTGCTATCCTCTTGCAAAGACAGGGATTTTGACACTGATTTTTTCCTCTAGCTGGGATATAGTGAAGACTTTTAACCTTTCTTATCAGACACAAACAATTGCTGTTCTATGGTGCCCTGATCAAAACAACAGACAAGAACACTGCATACCTCTGATCCATTGTGTTGTGGAAGTGCATTGTATGAGTGTCCTTTGTTATCGTGACCTTTCATGTGACTTTTGAGACTGTACTGAGTGCTGAATGTTTTCTCACACCCATTGCTGGGGCAGAAGAAGGGTCTTTCACCTGCAAGAATGACAAAGGAGTGTTAATTTCACCATAAAGTCATTTCACTGGATAAAGAAATCTATCTTTCCTTAAGAGAGAGAAGTAAACATTTTTGTAAGGGTTCAAGTAGCAATTGTTAAAAGTTGAATAAACTACATGTTAATTATCTCAGATCTGAAACTTAATACAGAACAAAGCACTGCAAATGCCCATTCCTGAGAAGTTTAAGAAGATTCAGTTTCTCGCGAGCTTGGGTTTTTTCTTTCTTTCTTTCTTTTTTTTAAAGAGTATTTCTGTACTGCTTTCATTTCTTAAATTAAGATTCCTGAATCCAACCTTTAGATTCTTTCATCTCTGAAAGAAACTCAAACATTACAGGTGAAGGCTAAGCTGATTAGGTTCAGCCTCTCCACCTAGTTCTACAGTTCTCAGTAGAAACATAGGCATAGGGTTGATGAAGGTTAAAATGAAGAGTAGAAATCAGCCTAAACTTACCAGTATGTGTGCGGACGTGCGTTTTAAGGTGGTGGCTTGCTGCAAACGCTTTTCCACATCCATCATGATCACAGCTAAATAAGGTGTTTAAGCAAAGGGAAACAGGAGTCATTGACTAAAGACCTTCATTCTCAACATCTCCTGTAAATGCTAACTACAACTTAAGAACTCAATGTGTAGAACTTGAGGTCAGATCGGGAACACTGGTTTCAGAGATGGGAATCATGAGAGGTTCTTAAAAAAGCAAGGTGACAGATCTGGAAGCTGAAGGAGCAGAGGGCCTAGGGTGAGTACCTCGTCCCGAAGGGAAGGCATGTGTGGAGAGCCCTGCCAACAGAAGTGTTTTGATTATTTAACAGAGCTCTACTGACAGTGAGAGTCCATATGGAGCATCTACAGGCAGTGAAATGCTACAGATGTTGAGAGTGGGTAAAGAGGCTCTCATGTATGCAGAGGGCTTGAACTATAATCTTAGAACATAATCGTCAGAATGCTGTAATGGCTGTAATCCTCAGGGCCCAGATCTCCTTTTCTTCTTTTACTTCGCGATAATCAAAGCTGGTAGTAATCTTTCTCTCCTCAGAACTATTGAGACACACACCCACATAACACCTCCCATGTTACTTTATCTCTTTGTGTACACATCTGTTACCTCTTCTCCTAGACTGCAAACTCTTTGAGGGCAGGATCCACACTGCCCTTTACAACTGCTCAGCTCCTGCACATAGCAGACACTGAATACTTACACATATGTATGTATCCATTTTAGTGTAAACCACAATATAATGTCTTTAAATAGGAAGCATTTTAAATTATATCATATTATCATATATCATTATTGTCATAATGTCTAAAAGTCCCATCTAATATCCAAGAAAAAATAGTTTTAATCATCACAAAAATAAACACATGTGCCTAGTAGAAATCAGAGGCCCTTCAGCACCCTGTGGGGAAAAATAACCCAAGCTTCAGAGCATCACACAGGAACCAACTAGCCTCTAACTACTCTTGCCCTTAAAGAGGCCAAGACCCAGGAATGTATCTGTAATTTAAAAACTCAATTCTATTCAATTGGTGTCTAAAAGCTAACTGTGCCTGAAGACTTTTTTTTTTTTTAACCTGAAGACTTTTAAATTGCTTCTAAGTATGCTAATCAGTCATCTGAGAATGGACAGGTACCATATTTAATGCCATAAACACAACAGCAAAAACTCCTGCCAAAATTCAAAGATATTATTTATGGACAATTTTATATTTAGAGAAATCCTTACAAATGGACTATCTCATAAAAAATACCAATAACCATCCCAAAGCTGTTTCTGACACCTACCTGAATACCTTGAACATCCTATGATCAGAGAAGAAAGCAGATAATACAAGTCCCTCCTTCAAGCTTACACGTTAAATGTATATGTACAGTGAGGTACACAGAAAATGTCTGAGCCTGTGTGTTTGTGTATACACATGGGAGAGATTATAAAGCAATGGCTGGACAAATAACAAACCCCAGTACCTGTCCAGTTACCTGAGTTCCCACCTCTCACTCTCTCTCATGCCTTTTCCTCCCTTCCCCTCTTCAGTTCTTCGATGGGTTCCTCGGTCCTCAAGGCACTTTGGGCATCTCACAGTCTCAGACACTACTTACTTGTCATTCTTTTCCACCAGAGCAAGGTTCCTGAAGTCAGCCTCCTTCTTAGTATTTCCCTACAACTACTGTAAGTACCTACCACATTTTTGAGTTTGAACAAATACTTCTTGAAAATAAAGGGAAATCCCAGGCATGGTGGAGGATGCCCATAATCCCAGCTACCAGGAAGCTGAAGCAGGAGGATCTCAAGTTCAAAGTCAGCCTAAGCAACGTAGCGAGACCCTGTCTCAAAATAAAATTTGAAAAAAAGAGCCGGGGATGTACCTCAGTGTGAAGCCCCTGGGTTCAATTCCCACTAACATCAAAAAGGGGGTGGGGGAATCATCCACAGTGAGGATGCCCCTGGAACCTACTGCATTCCTCTCATCTGAAGCAGCTGTTACAGCTCAGGTGAGAAGTTCCTAGAGTACATCAAGACACCCAGCTGAAAACTGATCGACGACAAATAGAAAACAGCAGGACTTACCGAAATGGCTTTTCTCCTGTGTGGGTTCGAATGTGCTTCCTCAGATCACTGAGTGTGGTGAAGTATTTGCTGCAGCCTTCAGATTCACAGTTAAACGTCTTCCCTGTGTGAAGCCTCTGATGTGCTTTCAGCCTGCAAAATATCCCAGAGAAATGTCCAGTGGGATAATGTACTATAGAGCCTCCCTGTGCCAGCCTCATGTGCCCTGGGATCAAGTGTGTAGGAATTATACGGCCTCAGTGTGAATATGTAACATGTTTCTCCCAAAGAGCAATCAGAGATAAACAACATAGCGCTACGAGCAGGACTCCAGAGACAGACTGACTGAGTTGAGTCCTGGCACCGCATCCTACTGGCTGAGGACCCTGAGGCAGTCACAGGGCTGCTGTGCACTCACTTACTCATCAGCTGTCATGAGGACCACACAGTGCACACTTTCTAAGTGTTACTGTCATTTCTGTTATTTTATACCTAATCTCAGACACTATGTAAATCCCCTAGTACAAATGTGGAAAAGAGAAAAGCCACATTAAGGCAGCTCATTTCTTCTCTTTCTCTTTCTTTCATTTATCCATTCTTTCTTTTTTTTAGACAGGGTCTCACTATGTAGTCCAGACTGGCCTCTAACTCTTGGCGATCCTCCTGCCTCAGCCTCCCAAGTGGAGTGCTGGGATTACAGGCGTGCGCTACCACACCTGGCTCCTCATTTCTAAGGGTAGAAAAAAGTTCTATCAGGGTGAAGAAAGAAAATTACAGAATCCTTAGTATAAAGATCCTGCGCTACATCAACTACCTGTATGTCACACCACGAGATCCAAAACTAAGCACAGATGCACTATCATTTCCAGCCACCCACAGATATATCCATCTTTAAGGAACCCGCTCTGCTCATGAATTTCAAAGACCTGAAAGTGAACACCGCTCCTGCTCAAGGAAAAAGGGCTCTCTCATCACAGCAACATCAGAGTCAGGGGCTGGTGGCCCAGTGGAGGAGAGGCTGACCTGTAGAGCGTGTTGAACGCCTTTTCACAGCCCTGCACATCACACTCAAATGGCTTCTCTTTCGTGTGCACTCGCACATGGATCCTGAGGCTGTAAGAGGTGAGGAAGGCCTTGCCACAGCCTTCCTGATTACAGACGAAGGTGTACTCTCCTCGGTGAGTCTTCTGGTGGGTGCGCAGGTTGCCTGCTGTGCTGTAGGTGCGGGGACAGCCCTCAAAGGTGCACTGGTACCGCTTTACCTGGCAGACAGAGGATACCTCATCAATAGGACCACAGACCTCAGTTCTCAGGAGATGCAGACAATACAGATGGGTTGATTGCTTGGTTTTGTCAGGCTAGGGATTGAAGCCAGGGTGCTCTACCACTGAGCTGGATCCCCAGCTATATATATGCGCAGTAATGGGGACTGAACTCAAGGTCTTCACCGTGATCTATATCCCTGGCACTTTTTTTTATTTTTTATTTTCAGACACAGTCTTACTGGGTCACTCAAAATGCAATCAACTTGCAATCCTCACCCAACTTGTAATCTTCCTACCTCAGCCTCCTGAGTGCTGGGATTACAGGTATCTACTACCACGCCCAGCAGATTGCCCATGGTTGACTCAAATCTCCATTCCTCATGCCTCAGCCTCTCAAAATGCTAAATTATAGGCATTTTCATATGGGGTATGGGGGCACATGCCTATAATCCTAGCACTTGGCGGGTTTGGGGATCACAAGTTTAAGGCCAGCCCGAGCTACACAGTAAGTGTGAGGCTAGCCTGGATTACAAACTGAGACCCTGTCTCAAAAAGGGTGGAAGTGATGGGGGGTCATCATTAACACAGAAAAAACCTCTAGCAGCAAAGTGAGAAAATCTTTTTGTAGCTTAAATAACACCTGGATAATACACAATGATTAGGGAGAAGAAATAAGCTTATACGTAAATGAATATTTTAAGATTTTTCAGGCTCTGGTATACAACTATTCTCTAAAGGTAAGCATATACCATTATATCTACCTGTATTCAAATAAAATCTTAAATTAGGGTCATATTCAAATCCCAGCTCTGCCATTTAAGGCTTGATTAAACATTTCACCCTCTACCATTCTATCTTGATTAGAAATGACCAATATTAAATTGAGTCTAAAATATCCAGAAATGTGTATAATTAACCATCAAACAGTATTTCCCTAGAGAGTGTCCACTGCATATTTTCAAGTCTGCAATACAAAGAAAAATTATCATGAATTTCTTAGGCTATCTGGAAATGTGATGATTTTCAAACCACCAATCTCTTTGCTTCCTTTCAGCACTGAACTTCTTGAAAGGTTACATCCATGTGTGGCCTCCATTTCCCACAATACCCAAATATTCCTTAGCCTACCTGGCAAGCTGCTTCACTATATTAAATTATTCTTTTGAACAGGCCGGTGGCCAGACTCTTTCATCTTTTCCTATTTTCCTTGACTATATGAAAATATACCCCATTAATGATGCGCTTTCCTTTTGTTGTGTTGTCCTTCACAACAAAGCAAAGCATAGAGCATTTTATTTCCTTTTCTAGGGGAGGGATACTCCTTTCCCTTAACCTCTATGTCTCTCATCTCATAAGCCTTCCCCACATCTATATGGGTACAGCAGACATGGCATCAGATTTGGCAGTAGAAGGCTGGATTCTGCCACTTATGTTCAATATAATTCTTTTTTTTTGGTACCAGGGATCAAACCAGGACCTTGCGCTTGCAAGACAGGCAGCAGCACCACTGAGCTAAATCCCCGGCCATGTTCAATATAATTCTTATGTTGAGTTACGTTAAGGTGCAAGACCTTGAGCAAGTCATTTTAGTTTCCTAAGCTTTAGGTTCTTTATTTCTCATATGCAAATATTAATGCCTGCCATCTGTCTCTGTGTGTGTGTGCACATGCACCCACGTGTGTGTTTGTTCTTGTTTTGGTTTTGTTCTGTATTTTTTACAGGACTAGTAACTGGGCCCAAGGAGCACTGAGCTACATCCCTAGCCCTTTTTATTATTTGTTTGTTTGTTTTGCAGTCTTGGGGATTCAACTCTGGGCCTTTACACTGACCTAATCATCATCCTATTTTTCATTTTTTACTTTGAGACAGGGTCTAAGTCACTAAGTTCCCCAGGCTGAGCTTAAATTTCTAATTCTCCTGCCTCAACCTCCTGGTGTGCCAGGATTATAGGTATGTACCACCATGCCCAGATTATTTTGCTTTTGTTTTTTTGAGACAGGCTGTAGCTATGTAGTTCAGGCTGGCCCTAAAGACAGTAATCCTCCTGCCTCAGGGATCCAAATGCTGGGATCACAGGTGTGCACCACCACAACCAGCCCCAGACTTTCATTTTTATTTTGAGATGGTTTCACTGAACTGCTCAGGATGGACTCAAACTTGATGTCCTCCTTCTTCAGCCTCTCAAATAGTTGGGACTACAAGCCTGTGTCACTATGTTTGGCTCACAGTGGTTTAGAGTAAAACAAAATGAGATAAAACATTTGTGAAAGTACTTTATAAATTATTTGACACTATACATATCAAGGTGCTAGTATTATGTACTTGTAACCAATGTCTTCATGCACAAATCTTTAATCCTAACCTCAGTCCATGTCCAACCACAGCACACTATTACAAGACTACAGAACAATACTGCTGTTCATTCAACAGCTGCTAAACCATGTCCCAGGCAATATGCTCAACACCACAGATTAAAAAGTGAGACAGAAATCTCTGCCTTTAAGGGAGGAGAGTTGAAAGGACGAAGACATGGACAAGCTATTATGAAATGTGCTGAGCTTCAAACAAGGCGCTTTGGGAACATGAAAAGGGAATTTCTAGCTCCTCTAAGAAAGACTGGAGATAAGTGAAAGCCTAGAAGCCATGCTATCACTCTGAAATGATGTTTTTTAACTTATTTAATTTTTGGATGAGCTATAAAGATGATTCCTCAGACAAAGCAGGAAGAAAGGGTATTCAGAAAGCAGGATGATGGGCTGGGGATTTAGCTCAGTGGTTCTGGCGCCTGCCTTGCAAGCGCAAGGTCCCGAGTTCGATCCCCAGTACCAAAAAAGAAAAAACAAAACAGAAAGCAGGATGAACACGGGACACGCACAGAGCCCCCAGTGAACCATAAACACTCGCAGTACATAGAATTGAAGAGACTTCAGAGACTGGAAAGAGAAGGATAAGGAAAATGGGGCTCAGCCCCAGGAGGCACACTGTCAAGAAACACTGACAGGTTTTAACCCAGAGAACAACACAATCAGAACAGGGCATAAGAGAGATCACTCTGATGGCCTTGTGCAGGAGGACCTGGAGGTGAGAGATCAGAAGAGAAGACAGAAATGAAAAGAAAAGCAGCAACAGTTCAGGAGAGAAATGAGAAGAGCCCCACCGAGGGAAGGGACTGTGGCCATCCCGAGAAATTAAGAGCGGTGGAGAAGACTGGCTGAAGTGACAAGTGGGTGTGGAGGAGTGGGAGGGGACCAGAGGCACAGCTGAAACCAAGCCCAAGCTTATGGCCTAGATGACTTGTTCGATGCTCAGGCTACCTACAGGGCTGGACAGGGGGAGATGAGGAGTTGGGTCAGGCAGAAACAGCTAGTCACAGGATACACTGGATACAAAGGCTGGAAGCAAGAAGGAGTCTATGGCAGGAACATGGGGTCCACAGGTAACAGCTGACTTTACCTGTATAATAAACCAGGGTCAAATGCAAGTCCCAGCTCTGTCATTTATTGTGTAACCTTAGGAAAATTAGACTCATTAAGCCTTGATTTCTCTATATACCAAGGAAGAAACAAAAGTCTATCTTTTAGGGGTTGTTGCAAGGCTCAAGAATAATCTGTATGAAGCATTTTAATATCATGACTGGCACATGGTAAGTACCCAACAAAATAACAGCTCTTACAAGAGGACAAAGGATAGACCTTGAAAATCACCAAGAGTAACATAATGACTGGTAAAAGAGAAGGCCTTGATGGGAGTGGGAGAAAGGGCTGGGAAAGGAGGCAGAAAAGAATGTGACAGAAGCCAAAAGAAAATGGGTCTCAAAATGTCAAGTGTCAGAGAAAACAAGGACGATGAGGGCTTGGAAAACAACTCAATCAGCAGCTAGGAATTCACTAATGACTCAGCAAAAGTAGTTCCAAAGGCATGCTGGGGGCAGAAGTCTGGATTAAGGCAAAATGAAAGAGGAAGTGGAGAAGGAGCCTAGGGATGTTGAGCAGCAGTATAAGTGGCCTTTAGGTTGATGGCTCACTTGCTCTCTCTCTCCTTTTCTTTTTCTGAGACAGGGTCTCACTATGTAGTTCAGGCTGGCCTTCAACTCACTATGTAGCCCAGGCTGGCCTCAAACTTGCAGCAATCCTCCTGCCTCAGCCTCTCCAGTGCTGGGATTACAGGTGTGCACCATCACAGTAGGTTAGTTCCTGAGCAGATTTAGGAGAAAAGTCCTGAAAGAAAGAAAGTGGAGGATCTAGGAACATAATCCAGTAATCCCAACTCTAGCGAGGCTGACGCAGAAGGAGCACAAGCTCAAGGCCACTCTAGGCTACAAAGTCAAGACCTGTCAGAAAGGAAGGTTTGGTCCAACCCCAGGAGGACCTTGCATGCTCTTAAGTCCTTTCACCGCCGGACTTCCCACTGGACTACAGGATGTGCTTCACAGACACCTACTGAATTAAATGACACAGCCACTGTTCTTGTGTCTCAGAGCCCAGCTTTGAGGTGGGTGCCGGAATGATTCTGAACCAGTGTTCCTCACATGCCATCTCTGCTCAGAAGACAGTCTCAATCCCTTAGTCTGACATTTAAGAAGCTTCCCAAGGCCTCTTCCACTTTGTCACATTACTGAGGAATGAGCCAAGCAGAGGACCTGTCTAGGCCTGCAGGAAACAGTACATCCATCCCCAGCTACAATTCAGAACTTCTACTTCCTGCCTTTACTCTTTCCTTTACCCGCAACTGGAAATGCCCAGTTCCTTTCTCTCCTTTTCCGAGTGTCCCTCTTCTTTCAATTCAAGCCTCACTACCCCAAGGTTCTCTATAATCCCTACTGTGCCCTCCTGTAAAGGTCAGTAATATTTATACCATTCACTTGACAGTTGCTTTAATATATTGTTGCTAATTATCCTCTCATGTGTATCTCGTGACTTCCCATCAAGAATATAAATTTTGGGCTGGGGATTTAGCTCAGTGGTTTCGCCGCTTGCTGCGCAAGCGCAAGGACCCGA